GGAGAGAGAGAGAGAGAGAGGAGGGGGGGGGTAAAGTATTTACAAAGAGGGCTGGATAACATGTGGTATAGTGCTTGAGTTGCTAGGCATATCAAATACTAGTCCTCTTTCTCTTTTTGCATCAAACTTTAATACCTCATTTTTGATGTCTTGCAAATTGTTGAGGACATCTCTCATGTCCATCCTCCCCATTGGTGACTCTAATGAACAAGAAAGCCCAATATCCATAATCTCCACTATGCATGGCAGCTTTTCATTTGGCCTCTCTGATCGCCTGTTTGTGCCACCAACTTCTAACAATTTTGCATTGACAATTTCCATCACTTGATGAGGATACGCTTTGTTCACGAACTCACGAAGGTTCATTCCATTTATAAACATATCATCAGTGGGCTTCTTGCCTGTGAACATCTCCAATAATAGAATCCCAAAGCTATAAACATCTCCCTTAGTAGATGCATTAACATCGAAACTATACTCTGCAACAACAACATTTTAACTGAATTAGACAACCACAATAAATAAAATAAAGAAAATATGGAAACATGAAAACTTGCAAGAATGATTTGAGGCAAAGTGATGTTAGATAGAAAACATAGCTTGGGTGCCATTGAAAGCGATGTTGTTGATACCTGGAGGGATGTAACCGATTGATCCCTTGAGTCCGAGTGTACTATCTGGTGTTCCGATGGAGCAACTGGAGAAAGGATTCTCGCCAAGCCAAAGTCACCAACATGTGCAGTTATATCTTCGTCTAGAAGATTGTTACTAGGTTTTAGATTACAATGCACAATTGGTGATGGACAATCATGATGTAGATATTCCATGGCATATGCTACATCTATCGCTATGCTTAATCTCTGCATGAGATTCAAATTCAAATGTCGACTTTGGTTCTCTCTAACCATAAGAGAAGGGCTTGGTGGGTGGAGCCACTTGTGCAAGCTTCCATGGCACAGAAATTCTAATATTAGAGCTTTGCAGTCATTACCTTGGAGACCACGGGTAATGCAACAAGTGATTAGCTTGACAAGGTTCCGGTGTCGGATTCCTCTAAGAGCTTTGCATTCGGCTGTGAAACTCTTGAAATCTCTGTGATGTTTAAGATGGAGAACCTTTATTGCTACGACCATCCCATCTTTAAGAGTTCCCTTGTAAATAGAGCCAAAACTGCTTAAACCGATCAAATTTGTAGAATCAAAACCGTTGGTGGCAAGAGAGAGTTCTTGGTAAGAGACTTTTCTGTATTCCCTTTTGAAAGGCATTTTATTTCCCAGTTTTTTTCTTCGAATTAGTACGATTGTTGCCCCAAGTATAATTGCTAAGATAGGCAAGATGACGGCTAGAATACACTTGATGATTTATGTCTGTGCTGGATCTTTTGGAAAGATTAGATGGGGCAAACAGGAAAAGTTCATAATCCTTGGACCCCCACAGAGCTTGTTGTTTCCTCGGATATCAAGTGAATTACTATTTAAGAGTATCCCTTCTTTTGGAATCCCTCCTTCGAATTCATTGAAGGATAGATTTAATCTTTCTAGATTCCAAAAGCGCAATAGAAATTTTGAGATATTTCCGGAGAGGTGATTGCTAGAGATGTCAAGGTTTTTGATTGATTTCAGGTTATTAAATGATTCTGGAATTTGGCCTTGCAAATTGTTATGAGAGAGATCCAAAGCCTCTAGAGATTCAATATTACCTATTGACTTCGGAATGGGACCTTCCAATGAATTCCTGCCCATGCGAATGCTTTCAAGAAGGTATAAATCGTTAAATGAATCTGGAATAATTTCTGAAAGCTTGTTCTCAGATATGTCAATTTTAGAAAGTTGGATGGCAAGCAGCGAAGCAGGTATGGTTATATTAATCTTGTTTTGGGAGAGGTCCAAGTGAGAAAGACAGGAACAATTTCCAAAACTCGATGGGATTCCACCATATAATTTGTTCCTTGATAAATCTAAATATTCCAAAAGATGAAGTCGTCCTATTGTTGAGGGAATGCTTCCATTTAAGTAGTTGTGATCCAAACACAATTATGTCAAGTTCACAAGCTTTCCAATCTTTGGCGGAATGGTTCCACTTAAGTTGTGATCCAATCGTAAGTACCTCAACTGCACAAGCTTTCCAATCTCCTTTGGAATGCTTCCAACCACACTATTATGAGATGCATCCAAATAACTTAATGACGACATGTTGTAAATTGAGGGGTACTATTATGAGATGCATCCAAATAACTTAATGACGACATGTTGTAAATTGAGGGGTGGATACTACCACTTGAATTATTTACTCTCAGACGCAAAATCTCAAGTCTCTTCAGATGGCTCAACTCTTTGGGTATCTCCCCGGTTAGAGAGTTATAAGGGAGGAAAAGCGAGTTTAGAGGTGAAAGGTTTCCAAGAGAAGGTGGGATGTTTCCTTCTGCATTAATATTTGAAAGATGAAGATGTTGTAGGTTTGGTAAGTTACCTATTTCCATGGGTAAGGCTCAATTCATCTTGTTTCCGGAGATGTCCAGATATACAAGAGTCGTGCAATTTCCCAAACTCCATGGGATTTTACCAGACAAAATATTATATGACAAATCCAACGATTTTAAGCACTGCAGTTGTCCAATTGCTGCCAGAATATTCCCTACTAAGTTGTTGACTCTCAAATCCAACTCTTCCATGCTCACAAGGTTTCCGATTTCGAATGGGAGGCTTCCTTCAATGACATTTGAGCTCAGGTCAAGACTCTTCATGAGAGATAAACGTCCAATCCCCCTTGGGATGTTTTATGAAAGTTGTTACTATGGAGGTGGAGGGAGGTTAGAGAGGAGAGATTACCAATGTGAGGGCTGATGGTGCCACTCAAGATAGAATTACTAAGATCCCAGTGCTGCTACTCTCTCATTTTGCTCATCGCATGTAACTCCTCGCCAATCGCACACACGAACACTTCGATTCCACGAGTCAAACACCCCATCTGGATCATGGCTTAGGTAGAGAGAGAATTGATCCTTCGAAAGATTGAAGGTGGTGGAAGGTGCCTCCAAAGAGAGAGAGGGGTAAATGTTTACAAAGAGGGCTGAATAACAATAGGTACACTGCTCGAGCTGCTGAGTATATCACATAATAATCCTCTCTCTCTATCGCTCTTTGCATTCAATTTTATTATCTCATTTCTGATGTTCTGTAAATGTTTTAGAACATCTCTCATATCCATCCTCTCCTTTGGTGATTCTAATGTACAAGAAAGCCCAATTCCCATAATTGCTATTAAACATGGTTGCATTTCATTTAGCCTCTCTGGTCCCTTGTCTGTGGCACCAACTTTTAATAATCTTATATCAACAATTTCCATCACTTGATGAGGATATGCTCTGTTCACAAATTCATGGAGATTTGTTCCATTTGTAAACATCTCATCAGTGGGCTTCTTTGCGGTGAACATCTCCAACAATAGAATCCCAAAGCTATAAACATCTCCCTTGGTCGCCAGGATTCCGAGCTGTCCAAAATGAAACTCGTCAAATTTTAGAACACTAGATGAGATGTAAGTGAAGATTTCTATATTTATTGTCTTCTCTTATTGCTCATTTTTTGTTCAAGGGATTGTATATTATGAGACCATTTATCTTTGTTACAAGAAGGTCACAATTACTCTTAGCCATTAGATGACTTGTGTGTATCACAAAGTTCGAGAATTTCTTTTTGAACTTTGAGTGCAGAGTGCATACAATAACATTCTTACAACCACTCGATTTGAAATCTGACGGACAAGAGTATTCGTGACCTCCTTGTACACAAAGTAAACAGTCACTTTGTGTACTTTCCTTTGTTTAATGCTAAGATTGGTGCTTTATTTAAAGGAAAAAGTTTATATGTTTGCAACCTTAAAATGTAGAATTACAGATGCACTTAAAAATCCATCGAAAAAGGTTGTTTTAAAAAACCTCTAATTGATCATCTTGACATCGAGATGTATGAACGTGAAAAAAAAAAAGGATTTGAGTCCCAAAAATAGTGCATCTTGCAATACATTATCTAGACTGTCCATTTTCAAGATTTTCATATGTTTATAGATCTACTTAATTTTAACCATTTTTTGAGTTTAAAATTTTATAATTAGATATGAAACTAGATTTTGAGATAATCTTAAGAATTTTTTTCACAAAAATTACAAGTTCTGATAAAATTTGGAGGTGTGCCTTAAATGGATTGTTTAAGGTTGCAACCTTATAGAAACCACACCCTTATCTAAATCTCACTAATTTAGATATAGTTCATGTGTTCTATTGGTCGTGCTTTGGCCTTTGATAGTAAACATGAACAAATTTAATGAAGAGTATTCTAAAGTACTTAAAAATTATAGGGAAAACTTACTATATTTCCCCACCTGTATGGATATATTTCCTACATCTCCCATCTCCCTGCTATTCGATCTGAATGGATGGTTGGGATGACTTCAGCCATAATGTCACAAGTGAGGCACTAACTATATGATCTAGATTTGATGTCATAGAGTATTTTATTTTTAGTTTTTTTTTCTACTAATCATATGAAGATGAAATTTGGTACGTCTCATCATCTCAACAAAACACACTTTGAAAAAATGACCAAAATACTTTAAAAATTTTAGGGGTATTTTGGTCATTTTATTTTATTGGGAATAGTTTTTTATATTTTTTCAGGTGCGAGTTTAAGAGAGGAGTGGACACCCCAAATTCAATGTCAATATATTTTTCAGAATTTTTTTTAAAAAGATTGTGTATAGGCATGACATTGTGATTGGGGCCATCTCTATTGTCCATTCTGAACGGACGGCTGGGAGATGGGGACATAGGAAAAATATATATAGGTGGCGAAGTATATTAAGTTTTCCAAACAATGTATATTCATAAGCACTTATGGTTTGAATAAGGGTATGATCCTCTTGATAGAGCGGTTATTGTTTAGAAGGAATTTTAATATGTATAGCACTCTCTCTCATTGTTTAGAACAAATCCTTTTCATCTATCTTATTGTTTTGAAGCAAGTTTATAATAATTGCTTTTGTAGCTCAACGATTTTCCCAAGGGACCTGTGGAGGAGGAGACAAAAGAGTTGGAGAATGAGGAAGGCCTTCTCAGGATGAGATTGGTCCCCAAATCCAATGGGGAAGAGGATGCCCTAAAACGTAAACTGGTGGAAGTGAAGTGAAGAACAGGTTGAAGGACATGGCATTGAAACTCACATTGCAAAGAGAACTAAACAAAGTGTTGATTGAATACCTAAAGAAGGCCATGGACTCGAATGCAATCTTCCAAGGGTGAAAGGGTATCAAACTAACCATTACTTTGAAATTATAGCATAAAATTGTTTACTTTGAGTACAAAAGGATGACGACCACCTCTAGTCATCTAATTAGAGGGCTGCACTCGGGGTTATACTATTAGTGATGCTCAAAATCTAATAAATTTTCTTTTGTGAAACTTTATGCAGAGAAATGATATACACCAGCTATCCGATTTTAAATCGGACGGCTTGAGGTGTATGTGACTTTTGTGTTCGCAAGGTCACATGTGTTTCAACTTTTTAGATTCAAAATTTTGCCAAAATTTGAATCTTTTTGGGACATGGTATGCTCTAGCATTACATAAACACATGTAGCATCAAATTTTAAAGAAAATTTATTAGAAATTATTTTAGGGACATGCAACCTAGTCTGGATCTTGTATTGGTTGTTGCTCGTACCCTAGTTATTGAAACATAATTAGCTCACATCTAGACCATCCATTTCTATAATGGATGGCCAAACCAATAAGAACATGCTAAGTTGGGATTATAGTGGCATTATCATCCATGGCTATCCGTTTTAGAAATAGATGATTATGATGATGCCATGTACCATTCATAAAATATAGGGAAATTTTTTATACATCTCATTTTTCAACTCTTTAAGATTTTACCATTTCTCTACTATTCCTGCTCCAAATTACGTGTATTTTGATGGGCATTTTGAAATGAAATTAGAATATATGGGTAAAATGTTAAAATAATCAATATCTTAAATGTATTTTGATAAATTTCCCTAAAATATAATGCATAGTATCATGTGTTTGCTTGTCTATGTCTTTATTTATTTTTACTGCTCAATTATCGCATTTTAAGTTTTTAGTCTAATTTGTTAGCGTTGTTTTCTCTTATTTAAAATTGTAGAAATGGAAGATGTGAAGAATATGGAGCATGAAGGTCACCAAGAAGAAGAATGTTGAATTAAGGAGGAAATTTATTTGTTTTGATTGATCTCACTGTAATGAAAGTAAACATGGCAGGATGATTCTTAATTGCCTTTTCTCTTTTGAATTGGTGAAGCATTATTTAGGTCATTTAATGAGATGATTATTTCACTCATTCCCAAAGGTTTTACATCTTTATAAGCTTTTTTTTACGATGGGTCTTCTTGCTTGTTCGATTTTGTGGTGACATGGACTTAATTTTGGGGAAACATTATTCTCTTTTACCCTTAAATATTTGTATTTTATATTTATACTCATCTTTTTTTTCCAAGATTCCCTTCATTTTGGACTTTAAAGGTCTAAAAGTGAACAATTTCAGATCGAAGTCATGATGAATACTTTAATTTTGAACCTGCAAGTTATGAACTGAAATACGAAAATTAACTTCGACTTTAAAGATCCAAGGTTATACTTCGAATCATGAGGAGCCGAAGTTAAAATTTTCGTTGGACCTTAAAGGTCGTAAGTGGTAAAAAATTATTGACTTTGGACCTTGAATATATGGATATCAAAACTTTTAACTTAACTTTAGATCTTGAAGATTGAAAATCGAGAATTTTTTTACCACTTTGGACCTCAAGGTCTGAAGTGGGGGAATTTTTGAAAGAAATGAAAAAGAAAAAGAAAGAAAGAAAAAAAAAGGGTCTGTACCTAAAATGTAAAACTTTAGGGGGAGAACTGTACTAACAGAAAAAAGGAAAGGAAGCTTATAAGTGTAGAGAGGGAAAATTGTAGCGAGGTTTTGTGAGAAATTGAGTTTGTATCTAGTTTTCTCAACTAAGAGTCATTTTGTCAGTTATTTCTATTGTATAATTAAAAAAAATCAGTGATCATCTTCGTCTATGAATGTGATCATATCTATGATGTATTACATAAAATGTTGGTGTTTTTTTTTAATTTTTGAATTATTTATTTCTTGTTCTAATTTCTTACTTGTTGCCGTGTTTTGCTCGTTCTTTATTTTGCCAAAAAAAGCAACCAAGTAGGTTTTAGATCTTCTATGCATGACGGTCTTTTTCTTGATTATTAAAATGTATTTTTTTCTTATCTTTTTATGGGTTTGTGTTCAATTCCATCTTTTTAGTATGATGCTTCTATGCACAACGATCTTTTTCTTGATCACTAAACTGTGTCTCTTATCTTTGTATAGGTTTGAGTTCAATTCTATCTTTTCCGTGTGATTTGGGACTGCCCAACGCACCCAAAACAAGTGAGCAGTAATTTAAAACCCATCGATTCAGATCGTGGAATCGCCGATGTAGATTATGAATTAGCCAAAACATAATCGATTTCACATTTCAGAGTATCGAAACACTAAAGTAAACAATAACTGGTATGAGAAATTTAATATCCATGTGTCACTTGGTCTTTCACTAGAATCCTTCAAAGGTTTTCTTTCGCTATGGTTATTGCTTCACTGACAGGCTCCTCTCAAACTTTCCCAATTGATTGCCCTCATAAAACTCCCGAATTTCCTAAGAATGAAGCTTAATTTTCTCTTCATCAAACCATTCTTGAAGTCCCGATCATCAATTGAAGTCTTGGGTATTTAAGCTCTATGCTTTGAGCTCTTCAAATTTATGTTCGAACCTCGGGTTCCTAGACTTAAAAACCAATTTGTTGATTGTTTATTATTTGATTGTTTATTAGGGCATGTTTAGTACGTATAAAAATATTATGTGAAAGTATTTTCACATAAAAGAACTCCCTCATGTGATCAGGGGTGGGAATCACACCAATTGACTGCCGATTAGTGTGAAAAAATAAGTCTAAAAAATTTTCCACAACTAATCACATGAGGGAAGTATTTCATGTGAAGATGCTTCCATGACAATATTGTCTCGCATACCGAACATGCCCTTAGTGTCAGTTTTCATGTTGCATGAGTCAATTAATTTTGAACTAAGCCCAAAGACGCGATCATTTTAAGAATTCAAGTGGGTTTTTAAGTTGAAAAAGTCAATTAGTTCTTAATTAAGCCTCATATCTTCATTAAGAGCAAAAATAAAAAGTCATTTTGTGTTTATAGGGGTGAAGATGGAGGATGGATAGGGAAGAAAGAACCTTAGATGGTGGGGCCCATGGATCAATCAAAGAAAAAACGAAGTTCTAAGCTATGTAACATAGACATGATTGTATGGTGTCCATAGGGTGCACCTATAGACTACGTATATGAGGGCCACATTTATCACTTCAAAACTTATATTGTTCTTGTTAGGCGGAATATTACTATCGAATAACTTTTAACATCACCTAATATCTCATCTTCTCTTTAGTTTAAATAATAGATAGATGTATCATGTCTGAAAAGCCAACTCTAAAGTTGGTATTTTTAACACTTGAATCCAAGTAAATACTTACACATTTGGCTGGTAGAATAGTGACTTTCTTAAGAGAGAGATCCTTGTAAATACTAACACATATTGGCCGGTAAAATAATGCCTTTCTTGAGAAAGAGAGAATTTGGTGTAAGAAAAGTTTTTTTTTATGAGTCATCCGGTGCAAGCGACCATTGACCCACAAAAAAATGGACATGGCATAAAGTGGCCCAGATAAAAATGTAACATAAACAGTGCAAAAAGAGTTCCCGGCAGGAGGGTGTATTTTAGATTTGAATTTGGTTTTTTCATGTTCATGATCACGTTGGCCTAGATCATGAATCTTTAAAAAATTGGGTAAAAAGTCTATCTTAAACATGTTTTTTAGAGAAGAGACACATATATACATATGAGTTGACTCATAAAAACCTCATCCTTTGGTGTAAAAGGGTTATTGTGGTTCTAAAAGTAAGAAAAAGCCCCATGAGGTGTTTCGGTGAGATAAATAGGGGGTTGTTTGGATTTACTCCTTATGATAATTAATTGTTTTCATAAAATTATCATGATAATGAATTATCTGTCGTTTATTAGTATCTCTCGTAACAAATTTTGACATAAACATCTAGGCAATATTACATGAAAAGTTATTTTTTTGAAAAAATGATTTTACTATATTCAAAGTAATTTAAAAAAAAAACATAATTTAGCAAAAAAAAACTACAAAAACTGAAAATGAGAGAAAAAGTTGAATAATGACATAATATTATTTATAGTACAAGATTTATGTACATCAGATAATAAAATAATAATATAGCAAAGTATATTAATTTCAGATCTTTTACGAACCTACTCTTGATGACATTAATTGTCATCGAAACACGTACAAGAGTAAAGGCGTAAATAATACTACCAAAAGCTCTGTGGTTTCTTAGTAGGAAAAAGTTGATATAAGGGTGGCCTATGGTCGATGGAGGGTAGTAGACTATATTTTTGGACGGCCGATCATGTATTTTTACGAGGTCCGGCTGGACCTCCTATACGCGCATTGCTCTTGTCATTTTTACCTCTCCGATATTCGAAATTTCGAAATTCTTTCTCCCCTACTTTATATATGACACGATTTCCAAAATGTTCAACAGTACGATTTTTTCTCGTTCTTTCCAATTCGTTTGTTGACCCCTGGCTTGGGATCTTTAGGGCAATTTTTTTCAGGGTTTTCAATTCAATCGTAGCATTCCTGGGGTTTCTTTCTTCTCTGTGAATTTTTCTTGGGTTTTTCTCTCTTTCTTGAGTTTTTGCAGTGTCTTGCCGTTTTGTTAGGGCCTTTAAACGAGCTTTTTCCTTTAATGGCATCTTCTAGTGCTTCATCCTACCGGGACAGAACCTTTGAGTTCCATTCTTTGTCGGAGAGATTGAAGAAATCCAGCGATTTGTCCGGAAATAGGTCAGGCATAGAACCAGAGGCCTCTTCTTCTACCATATCATCTCAATCTGATTTCAATAAGAGGGCATCGAGGATCGGGCTTGGAATTCATGAGGCTTCTCAGAAGATTGGGAGGCTAGCAAAATGTGAGTGTTTGTGTTGGATTAGTGTTCCATTTGAGCTGTGATTTCATGATAATTTTAGTTTAATTTGTTCGTTTTGGATAATGGAATTGTGATATCATTGGGATTATTTTTCTGTATGTGATTTAGTTGTGATATGTAAAAACATCCATCCATTTGGAGGGCAAATTTAGTAATGCTTGTTATCAAAAAGTCATATTTATTGTGATTTTATCATGAATAAAATGGTTGTCTGATAATATTTTTCAATTTACTGCGAGGATGAAGATTACCGTGATAAATTAGTTATTGCGACTGTTATCACAGCTATGTATGATGTGTTATTTTCATAATGCATGTTTTGTTGAGCATGAAGCATGAGTTCCGAAAAAAATTTGTCCATTTTTTTCCCCTAATTCCTTCTATATTTGGAAGAAGATATCCTCCAGAAATATAACCTATCAGTATTGGTAAACTCAGTGAGTCCGACTGTGACTCGCCTGAGTCAGACTGCTAAATCTGGAACCCGACACATGAGAACCGGCTATCTGGTCACAACCTGAGTCCTTTTCTTTTACACTGGAACCTACTAAGAAACCCGACTGATAATATACCCTGACATTTATTACCTAGACCACAAATTAGGTTATCCATTATGCTGCAATTTAGATGGTGTTGAATGCAACATTTATTTTTATTGAAATGGTGTAATTAATTTCTCTTTGAAAAAGTGACCATTATACAAGAATGTGTTTTTTAAACTCGACATATAAATTGTTTGGCAAATTATCATGACTGAAAAGTAAGGTTGAGGCCTGGATCCTCTGGCACTAGAAATCTTTGTTTAGCTTCGCATTCTGATGTATAAACAGAATGGGAAATTATAGATGTTCTTTTAAGGCTTTCTTTTTTCTTCATTTTTTTTATAGATGAAATGCACTTTCTGTTTGTCTTGATTTTGTGCCAATCTAATCAGTTGATTGCTAGGTAGTTTTCATGCTTTGGTTTTCTTGATTGAACTTCAAACTAGTAAAAAGCTCCGATTAATTCAAATTTATATTAACAATTCACTAGGGGTGAGTTTGGGTGGACGCCTTATTCTTGAGTAGATGGTGTTCTTGAGTATTTTTAATCAAGACCTAAAGAAAAAACTGGTTTTGTTTTTAACTTTGAAAGTGAATTGTGGTGTGCCTCGGTCTTTTTCAAATAAAAGGTTAAGAAATGGGGCTTACTCATGGGTAGGATGGAACGGACCGAATCATCATCATCGTCATTATTAGAGCCCCATTCAAACTATTTGGGATCAGCTACATGAATCTTGTTCCCCCATTCTCCTCGATCAAGGGCCGTACTCTCAGTAATACTTTTAGTCCCTATATCTTTTCTCACTACTTCCATCTGTGGCCTTTTTTACTTTCCCCTTACCCTTTTGGAGCCTTCCACTTGAACCAAAAATATTGGGCTACGCTGCACATGACCTGCCCACCTAAGTTTACTTTCCCTATCTTATTGCTTATTGAAGCCACACCTAAGTTCTTTCGAATGTATTCATTTCGAATTCTATCCCTTCTTGTCTTGCTACTCATCCATTTCAACATCCTCATCTCAACTACACTCACCCTATGGGTATATTGTTTCTTGACCGCCCAACATTGCTTCCCATAAAGCAAGGCTGATCTCACAGTTGTCCTTTAGAACTTCCCCTTCAACTTCATTGGTATGCGATGATCGCATAAAACTCTGGATGCACATCTCCACTTCGCCCACCCAGCTCTAATTTTGTGCGATATCTTCTTCAAGCTCTCTATTTTCTTGGATTATCGACCCAAATTATCGAAAAAGCTCTCTTTTAGGTATTTCTTAGGCCCTGGAGCAGACCAAATGTCTTAGTAATCATGAGAAGACTCTTTACTCAGCTACAATATGTTAATCTTTATGAAAGGTTTCTTAATCTTCAAGGGATTGTAAAACTTGTGTACATCTTGTTTTCATTGATGAAAATTGATGAAAGCATTGATACTAAAGTCCGTTATTTTTTTGGAGAAGGTTAAAAAAGGCTTAGCCTTATGGAAAAAGTATAGCCTTACCTTAGAACTCACTGATAATTGTAGTTCCAGCATTGGAAACCTTCAATTCGGTAATATCAACCTTGACCATTATGGTTGTGAAAACAAATTCAGCTTTCAAGGCCTAAAACTAGTGTATATTGCAACACATTATCTAGACCGTCCATTTTCAAGTATTCATGGATCTACCAAATTTGTACTTTTTTTTAGCAAAAAAATTTATAATCGGTGGCAGAAATAGATTTTAGGGCCATCATTTGGATTTCCCATACCCGAAGTACTTTCTGGATGAGGTTTTGAGGTGAAGCTTTACTTTTTTTCATAAGGAACTGCATCCTTATTTGCGTAGATATGTTAGAATTCATTAAGAAAGATGCTAAACTCTATTAATTTCTTAATTTTAATTTCCATGAGGAGAAAAATTTTTGTTCGAAGGTTGTTTAACAACATACTATTCCTATGAAGAAATAAGTATGAATTCTTTTCAAACTTGATATAATCCTTTATTTCTGTTTTCCTCCATGTCTTCGATTGTTATAGTTTCATCTGTAGTCAGCTTTGAGTATTTATGGTGAGAAATAGGTTTACTTGTTGTATGTTACTGCCTATTAGACAGTTACATGTGTTTCCAGGGGGTTCCAAAATCCAAGGTTACTACCATCTTGGGTGAAACTTCTAGGTAATACTAACTTACTTTTCTGCTTCTCGGTGCTATTTGTTTCTTGGTTTGCAGTGGCAAAAAGGTCATCTATTTTTGACGATCCAGTTGAAGAGATACAAGAACTCACTGCTTTTATAAAAAATGACATCCAAGCATTAAATATTGCTGTTTCAGACTTGCAAGCTCTTCAAAACTCTGAAATTGCAGATGGTAATTTTTCAAATGATAGAGTTGGTCATTCAACCACTATTGTTGATGATTTGAAGAATAGACTTATGGGAACTACAAAAGAGTTTAAAGATGTTTTGACTACAAGGACAGAGGTGCATTTTTTTTAATTTTGCAGATTGTTTTTGATGTCTTTCCATTTAATGCGCTCTTACTAGGCTAAATATTTGTTTGTATAGAATATTAAAGCCCACGAAAATAGGAAGCAAATCTTCTCGGCAAATGCATTGAGAGAGAATCCGTTTACTCAACAATCAAAGTCAGTTTCTGAACCTCCTCCATGGTCAAATTTATCTAATGCATCTGGAAATTTACCAGCTCCTATGTAAGTTGCTTCCTATAAAATTCCTGAAATCTGTTTGTCCTTATTTGGTTCACTGTAGTTGGTTATTTTGTGACGGTAGTTAAACGATCCAAATTTCATGTACATATAAATTATGAGGGTGATAGCTAAGGTGACATTATAATTAAGGAACAGTGGTGCCTTGCCCTTAGTTGCGTTAGCACATGGTGGACTTGTTTTCCATACGTGCAAATTGTTGGCCTTTTGTCTTCAATTGTCTGTACCTGCTCTTATGAATCACCTTATTACTTCCAAGTTTTAGCTATTTACCCACTCCACCTTTAAGGTATCTCTGTTAGGCACTAAGTAGCTCATTTTATAATGAGGGACCTTCTCCTTTTGCTGCACTGTGAATTTTGCATCCTCGACTTCATGAGGATGAATGATCGGATGGATGTTTTTGTTTTGCTACATATGCTAGGTTATTTCACAATCCTCCAGTCTTGTATACATGTCTTTGAAGCTCAATTCACCACTGGGTTGAGTTTCACTTAGATGAGGGAGTCAACTTTCTTAAATAACCCAAGAAATTCGTATACCCGTGTAACATAAATAATTTTTTGAAACATGTTTGCAGAATGCATGTTGAGATATCAGCACTAACAGATATTGCAGGGTTGATGGTTGTAGTGGTGGTTTCTATTTCAAAAGCATATTTAGGATTGTTTTTGTGTATGATTGTTGCTTTGGTAGTGCTATTGATATGATAATTTGAGGTTCCCTTGGTGGTTGGCCTTATGGAACAGCCAATTGCTTTTGGTGATGGTGGTGGATTTGATTTTTTTTCTTGGAGGCAAGTGGACATAGGTGCAATCTCTCTTATTAATGTCATTTCTAGGTTTCAAAACTTTTCTTGTCCCTATTTTAGATGGCCATCTCAGTTATGAAGAAACTGGAAAGTTTGACGCAAGAGTTCTGTAACAATCCTAAACTTTCAATTTAAAAAAAAAAAAAAAAGGAAGAAAAGAAACTTTCAATAAGTGATGGTCCATATAAGCATGATGGTCCTTAGGGACCATCACTACTTGTCAAAAGCTTTTACCTTCATTTGGTTTAAGCTTTTGCTGCCTTGCCGCGTCCTTTAGTGGACGTGGTTTTCAGGTGTTAAAGGCGGTCGATTACGCGACACCTCATACATGAGATGGAGGCGTTTTAAAGAAATTAAATAGGAAGAAAGATAAGATGTCGCCTAACAACTCCTTTCTCGCGCTCCCTCTTACAAACACAGTGAGCTCCTCTCTCTAGCCGAATTTTTATCAAAAGCTCCTTCTCAAATATTTTAGGTAAGTGACTTCATTATCTTGAAAAATAATCCGTTCTTTTTAAAAATGAAATGAAATAATTACTTTTGCTTATTATCATGAATTTTAGGCCCGATAAATTTTATGCTCAAGCGACCTTATTATTTTGAAAAATAATATTTTTAATAAAATTGTGATATTTTATCTATATTAGAAATTTTAAATGCTGTAAATTCTTAGAAATAAATTTGATATTTCTGCTTTTAGTAAAATTGTAAGATTTCTTTTTACTGTTTTTGAATATTTAGACATTGTAAAATTCATGCGTAAATGACTGCCTTATTATTTGAAAACTGATATTTTTGCATTTGATTATAGCATTGTCTGTGAAATGTTTATTTGCAAATTGGCAATTATGTTAAAATGTCTTTACGAACTGCTACCTTTCTAAA